CATAACCATGCAAAGACTCAAGGCATATTACTTTCACAAGCTCTTTCTGCAAATCTACTAGAAAGGGCTTCAGGAGACCAAAGGGACATAAGTGTAAGGACAAGGATAAACACTAGATATATACTTACCTTTAAGTAGTAAGAGTAAATAAGTAATAAATAAGATTATAGTATTAGATATGTCAATGAAGTCGAGTTCCTGTCTTACTTTGGTCTAAAGGTAGACACTTTCAGTCTCAGTAGTTTTCTGACTTAGATGGTAAATCAATTAACACTCTCATAGTAGCCTGAGTAAAGGCTATATGAGCTAATTACGCATCTTCATTGTCTTTCTAATGCAGCCGCAATGCAACTGATTAGTAAGGGGAAGAGTTAAGCAGGTTTAGGGAGAGTATTAGAAGAGTAATTGCCTTTTTGATGATGCTGGTATTGAATGGACATCCACTTATAAATTAGAATGTTAAAGGTGAGAAGAGGAAGGAAAGATTACTGTTTTCAGAGTAGGAAACCAATAGCAAATGTGTCAGTCTTTGTGTGCCCTAGCTTTCAAGGCCGTCATCTATTCCTTGTCTCTCCTGTTGAGAACATGCCAGTCTTGCAAGTTCTTTGTCATCTGCTCTTATTTCATGGCATCTTATTTCATTCACACTGTCATCATGGTTTACTGTAATGTAAGTTTTGTTTACCTTAGATAGTTTTGGGGTTTTTTGTTTGTTTGTTTTTTGTTTTGCATCCCTAAAATATGTTTTATCTTCACATTGAGTTGTTATTTTAGCTAAGTAGAAAATTCGGGTTAATATACCTCCTTGGAAGTAGTGACAGTATCTCATTACTATTTTGATCTCAGCAATTCTTCATCGGTTGTGGTTGTGATCTTTGATCTGCTGTATATAAATTTTCTTGTTGCCATTGGTCTTATTCCCTGAAACTTTAATTTTCTTTGTTGCTATGGCATTTGTCATTTCCATTAGAGAGAAACCAAAATAAAAGTATAACAACTTGTTTGAAGATAACGCAAGTAGTAACCTGTACTAAGTGCATTGAACCTGGCTTTGAACCTGATGTTCTTTGTGTACACTATCACAATAGAGTTAAAATTGATCACTTTAAGCAAGAGTTCAAATCCTAATAACACTGCCATTTAATGAGTGCTGACAATTTTATAAAGATGATGTCTGCGACTTTCATACTTTACATGCTTTGTCTAATTTCCTCCTCCTATAACTCTATGAGACAGGTTATATTTCTGTCCCCATTGTACAGATGAGAAACCTGAGTCATAGAAAGTAAGAAAAGTCTCTAAACAAATTTTGTGAAAGTTCTTGACAAGGTTTTAGTAAAATTTTCCTAACTATGAAAGCTAGTAAATATTTTAAACTTTGCATGAAACACCAGTTTTGCCATTACTCAAATCTGTCCCTGTAGTGTGGAAATTGCTACAGACATAATTTATGGAGAATGAACATGGTTATGCTCCAGTAAAACTTTGTTAACAAAATAGATGATGGGACTGAGGTGACCTGTGGGTCATAGTTTGTCTACATCTCTTCAGATAATTTAAAAAAATTATTAAATATCTGAAGTGAAAATCAGCAAAAAGATTATTACACTTTGATGTAAGGCAGGCACTTGAGAAAAGAACATGCATTTCAAAGTTTCAAATAAGAATGATATATGCATTTGGATAAAAAAAAGTATCAGAGAATTTGGTCATTGTAAGAACAGATTTTAGTAGCTTTGGTGCTTAAAAAAGAGGAGGTAGCATCCCCCCAGCTCCCATGATTTGTGCCTGGGCTCATCACTGTGATCTTTTGCCTCTCTCATAGGTTCAATTTCCTGTTTTTAAAGAATGAAGCAATAAAAATTGGATTAATGGCATCCAAACCAGCACTTGTTTGGATGAGGGGAAAGCTACAACCTGAATACCTTTTAATTCTCCAATATGTTAATCAAAAACTTTTCTCTAAGGGGCAATTTTAAAAACAACTTCAATGTTAATGTTTTAAAAATTCAGAAAAGTCATCAACAACAGTTATGTTACAGCCACATGATTTTTGTAAATACTTGGTTCCCAATTAATAATATAGTCCCAGTTACGTTATTCATTTGGAACCAAGATCAGAAGAATAATTTACTTATCACCTCTGCGTAATTAAAGGCTTAAGATGAAAGAGAGAGAACTATACTAGTTTAGTGACATAGAGACGTCACTTTGTCTAGAATGTAACTTGGATAGAGTTAATGGAATATTTCTGTTTTCCAGGAGGACTTGTTTCATAGCTAGTCTTTGTGTTGTGTAGGAAGCTAGAGTGATAGCAATCACTTAAGATTTTATTCCTACTAGCATACAGACTTGTCAGCTGGAATCAGGATCCAAGGCTTAGGGTGGAAACTGTAATCACTTTTATCTTCACTGCCACAGTGAATAAGCATGAAATTTCTAAAGGATTATTTTAAAGTAAAAAATGTATTTTACATTCAGTTGGGAGCAAGCAACTGATAGCTAGATAAAGAATAACAAGTAAGAGTTACATTTCTTCATTGTGAGAGATTTTCCTTATGCTCAGTGACCCAAAACCCTTTCATGGTGATTATGCACTAATACTCAGAAAGAGAAAGAGACCATGCTTGTCTCCAGGCTTTAAAAAATACTCCAGTCTGGTTACTACTGCTAAATCAATAAACCTACAACAAAGAACTCTGTTACAAGTCAGACCTTCCTTTGCCTTAAGCTACTTTTTCTGCACATTAAAATTTCTGTCAGATGTTTCTCTATTGATTATCCTGGACCCCACCACTGTGAAAACACAAGATGGCAAGAATGGATTTTTTTCTTGTTGCCAAGTAAAAGTCACCTGTAGTCTTCAGGTTGTTTGGAAACTAAATCTATAAATCATTTAAGGAGCTCTTTTATATCTTTATGTAAGAAAATTGATTTAAATTTGCTCTTGACAGTTTCTTGTTAGATCACAATTTTTAGTACCTAGAATACTATTAAGAAATAAATAAGTTCTACTGATATGATCACACCACCTAAAATTAGAAGGATTTTTTCATTAACTAGTCTGTTATCCAAACTAACTGCAAAGACAAATAGAACATTTCTTAAAAGTCTTAAAATGGAAATCACTTATTTAAAAGAATGTTAGATTTGGTCTGAGAAATTTACTTCAACTGAGATTCTCTTCTTTGTGGTTTTCATTTAGTGACTCACTTTTGTTAACCAACATTTTTCTATTTCATTCATCCAACCAACATTACTATACATAAAAAATAAAAAGTAGTTTGGAATTTCAATAATTGAAGAAAAAACTTACTTTGGTTTTTGGTGAGAGAGGACGCTATACTCACATGCTCTTTGGGTTGAGCAGTATACATACAAGATGACTGATGCCAGTACAGGGCTCTGTGATCAGTGTGACTACAGGTGCTTGACTGATTTGGATCACTAATTAACATGTTAGCAAAGCTTATTCATTAAGCTCCAGTGCTGTCCTGACACCAGCACACCCTGGCACAAGGCATCCCGGTGTACCCTTGGACCACATGAATTAAAATAGTCTCAGCTTCTTCTGTAAATGGTAAATTTCTGAGCTTCATTTTAGTTTATTTTTTAAATAAAATCATTAGTATGGTATCAGTAAGTATAGAAATAGCAATTGACAAACATTCATTTATGATTGAAAAAGAGCTCTTGATGAACTAATGGAATAGCATGCTTCCTTAACTTTTAGGCTATACAGAAATCCAAAAGCTAATTCCACACTCAGATCAGAAACAAGGGAAGGATGTCCTCTTTCACCAGTCCTCTTCAGCAATATGCTTAAAGTCCTTGCTAATGCAATAAAGCAAGACAATAAAATAAAAAGAACACAGATTGTAAGGAAAGAACTAAAACTATCTTTGTTCAGATAATATAATTATCTATGCAGAAAATCCAAAAGATTTAGCCACAACAAAACCAAACCTTTTAGAACTAGAAAGCAATTACAATGAGATTTCAGAATATAATGCAAATACACAAAAATCAATGATTGTCCTATGCAAGCAATATACTAGGGAATTAAAATATAGTATCATTTATATTCACAGTCGATAAAATGAAATTCTTCAGTATAACATACATAGGCCTAGTTGAGGAAATCTATAAAACTCTAATGAAAGAAATCAAAGGATAAAATAAATGGAGGTATATTTGGCATATTCCATGTTCATGAATGGAGAGACTCAATATTGTCAAAGTGTCATTCATCTTAACATAGAAATTTAATACAATCCCAAGCAAAATCTAAGCAAGTTATTTTATAGATACATATTACCAAATAATTCTAAAGTTTATATGGAGACCCCGAAGTCATAGAATTACCAAGACAATACTGCAGAAAAACAAATTGGAGTAATCATACAAAAGATGAAAACAAACTCTATAAAATATTAACAATTTAATGATAGATGGTTTATCATCCAAAGAAATACAAATACAATAGCAATTTTCAAAACAGATTTTAAAATACTATTTGAAATTTTAAAAGGGATAAAAAAATAACTAACATTCATTTTTAAAAGAATCGTGACATTCAGACATAAAAGTATGATTCAATTATTGAGAAATCAAAAAAGAACCAGTTAAGGTCCTGGAATTGAGTATCATGTTCAAATTTTAACACACATAGCTAAAGGAATAATTCATAAATTAAAGCAAAATACAGAGAGCTTAGAAAAAGTGAAAGTAAAGACCCAACTCAGAGCATGGACTGAGAAACTCCACACATGCCCAGAGTGTGTACCCAAAATAAGAAATACAGCAATAAGAAAGAGGTAGTTTTGAAGGATTAACGAGAAGTTTCCCCTCAGTGGAAGAAAGAAAGTGATCCAGGTGGTAAGTGGGAGGAATGAGAATAAACTCAAGGGCACTCTATACAATACTTAATTATGACTCAAAAGTGAAGATAAAATATAGAAAGTTTTGAACAAAGACTAACAGAATTTACCTCTTTACAGATTCTTGCTGAGAGAACTACAAAAGTATGGACTCCAGGCAGAGAAAAAGTGAATCCCAGGAATGGAGTAGGATATAAGCAATAACAGTAAGTAAAGCTAGTAGAAAATATATGCCTTTAATTATAATATAAAACTAATTACATGGAAAAAGTTAAAGTTAGAGCTACTGAATTTATTGTAGCTGGATTTTCTTTGTGTATGCTTTCAACTGTTTTAGTTTAATGACTTATTTTTTCCAACTATATCAGCTGCTTCTGTCTCACATTAGCTTCATCACTCCATGAAAAAAATATAATAGGTCCTCAAAAAATATTTCATGAGTGAATAAGTGTCTTGTCATTTAAATTTTAATAAAGTTTCTGATGAAAGGCAGCATTTTGTATCAGGAGGTATGTTTTAGCTTTTGTCTTTAATCATCCTATGTCCCACAAGACATTTCTTCAACTTATTTAGCCTGGTTATTCTTTTTATCTGAAATAGAGAATGATTATATAAACCTAGTTGAAGTTAAAACAAGATACTGTGCCTAATCATACATGTTTGAGATGTTACTTTTTCTTCTGTTTAATATTTTACTACCAAATAGCTAGATAAATATTTCACATAATCATATACAACACAAAAGGCAAAAATAGTTTGTAAGGCCTCTTAGATTTTGTTTCCAGAAAATTAAGTGAGGATATAAAGAGGTAAATAGATGAATGAGACCACAAAAACATATAAAGATGCTGGTATGACCTTCTTGGAAGGAGTCTGTAAAACCCCAGTAAAAATATCTGCATGGTATATCTAGGCAGACTGTGCTAACAGGCAGCCTCGAAAACATTTTTATGAAGTTATTGCCACTTAAAACTACCAGACCAGAAGGGGTCATCTGGATAGGAAATCGTCATCAGAAGGGGAAAATTATTAAGTATTTGAGTAACTTTGCCAAAATTCTTAGGGCTAATTTGATTCTGAGACCAGAAATGAGTTACAATAGTAAATAAATTATCAAGAAGGACAAAAGTGACTTGTCTTCTATCTCAGTGTACAAGTAAAGAAAAATTAAACTCATCTGAAAAGATATAAAGAATATTATGCAGTAAGTCCCCAACTTACAAGTTCCATTCATGAAGGATACCTGTAAGTTCAATTTGTTTACAAGTCTTATCAAACGAGTCTCACACACGTGTGACACAAATATACACTGTGTACTGCTTTGCACTTCCAAGCATCCCCTCCACATCACCACTGTTTTTCCTCTTGCTGCTGGACATTCTGTGCTCTGACTGAGCACTGCCCCACTGTACAGTATGTGCAGCATAATTGTGAAAGTGTCTGAATATGTGCAATTCAGGGTCCATTGGCATGCTTGAAATTGTAATGCCAGTGTTTGTAAGTCAGCAACTTATTTATTCTTGCATGAGAACTCAATTCTTCTCTAATTAATTTATGGGTCCCACACAACAGAAATGCAAAATTCATATCATTGGCATGTTCTTACCATAACATAACCAGTACACATTGATAATCTCAGTACACAGGAAACTAAGCAGAACTATTACAGATCTGAAGTCAGGTTAGACAAATTAAAGACTCTTCTCAAAATAAAAAAAAAACATATTTTTGAAACAGTGGAATAGAGAATTTGGGAAATTATTTGAACTTTTCCCTATTTCCTTTATCTCTATCTTCTGTTTTGGGATAGAGATATAACTCAGGGGTCTCTGAGCTCAATCCTGCTATCTCAAAAGGAGAAAGAGGAGGAGGGGAAGAATGAGAAGGAGAAGAAGGAAGAAGAGGAGGGGAGGAAAGAGGGAGAGAGGAAGATGAAAGAGGAGAGTCTGTGATTAAAACTGCATGCTAACCTCTTAAAGAATTTAGGACAAGCTTCAGAGAATAATTTTTGGCAATATAGTCCTCTGGGATTTCTCTTTTAGGTTCTTCAAGAAATACATCTTAAATTTTAAAAATTTACTTCTTGGTTTTGTTTGAACAGCACTAATTTTTTTTATAGTTCTTGGTTGAATAGGAAACACATACTTTTAAATTTTAATATTTTTATTTCAAAAGAGTTTCAGATTTTTATGAAAGTTGCATAGTACAGAGATGTGCTATACACTGCAATTTTCTTTTTTTAAAAAAATATCTGACAGTGGAGTGTGATGCTGTCTTCATTACACTGATACCTTATTTTTTTTAACGTAAAACCATAACTTATTAAGGTTCCTTTAGTTTAGTTATTGCCAAATGTTATTTACTGTTCTACAATTTTTAAATATAAAGTTTTACTTAAGTAATCTTTCAAGATATATCATGCAGTTATTTTCTTATAGGACAGACAAACATTCATCTCACAGTAAGAAGCAGTGTCTTATCACCAGACTGCACTGATCCCCTCTGATTTATTTAGAGGAATCTCAAAGGTGACTTGGTAGCTCTGTTGTGATAATAAAATCATTGTCTTAGCAGAGTAAGATAATTCGCTCCTGCTTTCCTCATATCTTGCTAATCACTGATTGAATACATTTAGAATACTAGCACTAAAACAGCTTTTCAGTTCATCTTAGTTACCATAGAGAGGTATAGCTTCTTACCCATATCTTTATGGTTTCTATGTCTAAGTCATATATTAAAGGTAAAATCTAGGGTCTCAGAACGGGTATCTACTTGGTATTTCCTGATAAGTTAGCTATGAAAAAGACACTGTATACAATATACAATTTGTAATTTACAATGAAGCTTTTGATTATTAACACTGTAGGATGGCTACTCACTAAAACTAAGATGCCACAGAGAGTGTGCATTTGAATTCTAACATTTAATTACTAAGGGCAGCAGGATGAATTCCAGGACTCATAATCCATATTGATGTCTCCTTAGTTTTATAGAGATCTTTCTGACTACTAACTCTCAGGGTCATTCATTGATTTTCTACAAAATTAAAACATAAACCTAATAAATATCTAATCATTCCATTACTCTCTTCTGCCACACATTTAAAAGAAATACATCAAAGGTTGAAAAAATATAAATACTTTGACATGATTATATTTTAGCTGATTGCATTTATTGTTTTACATCAGCAATTTCCTAGACCTGGTCAGAAAAGTAATTCATGATTAATTAGTGTACTGGAATGAATAAACTTTCAAAGACATACAACCCTTACTAACAGATACCAAAAATTATTTGATAATAATGCCAAGGATATATTTTTATTTACTCATTCAAAGTCATGTTGAACTAATGCCTTTGATTTTAGGAAAAAGAGACTCACACTTATCTTACATTATTTTTAACAAATTTTCAATAAAATATAAGAATAATATATAAAGCCAACATTCATGTGAGTACAAGAGTATCATTTTGACAGTAAGAGTCTTATTGGGTACTAATTGTGTTATTCAGAGTCCAGTTAGGAGATAGAGAACACAACAGTTTTTTTTTTTTAAATTAGTTTAAATATAAAAAATTCACTCAAGAATTGAAATCCTGAAAAGAGAATGTAAAGTTTCTTGAAGAGCATTTTGAGGACTGGTGCATAAAATAAACTGTTTGGGTTTATTAAAATTTAAAAGCTTGCATGCAGAAGTTAAAGACCTAAGTGTCAAACTTCTGAGGAGATGTTGCAAAGCTGTGTTGCTGCTTCAAGAAGGCTACAGAGGGGCGGTCTGTGGCGAGGACCCAAACTCTGAAGAGGAGAAACTAGTTTGCTGCAACTGAGCAGGTGAAGGGAATGAGGTCTTGCAAGTGTTGGAAAAATACAAACTAGAGTAATTCCACTATGGGAACAATGCGCCATTTCTCAGGTGAGGCAGTCTTGGGTGGCGTTGAGTATAGGAAACAAAACAGCACTGGAAATGGTTTAGAAGCACAATATCCCTTCCCTTCTCTAGCCTTCTAATTTCTCCCTAGTGCCCCTTACTAACAGATACCAATTGGACTCTCGCTGGCAAACGACGAGATGGCTTCATGGTTCTAGACTTAGAATAACAAAAATGAATTATGGAAAGACTCATAAAGAGTAAAATAGGGAGGGAGAACATTTGAAGCTAAAAGATGAATGTTTAACAAACAGACTAAAAAAACACCTTAATTTGGCTTGCCTTCAATGAGTTTTATGATGGATATACATAAAATTCAATGCTTTTGGTTTCTGACTCTGGGTGAAAGTAGTTATTATTCCTTTTGAATTAAATTTAATGGTATATGGAAAAATAGATAAGGATGAGTGACTAGTGTCACACCTCTAATCTTGCTTCTTGGAAGGCTAAGGCAATTGGATCGCAAATTTGAGGTCACCTGGGCAATTTAACAAAACCCTGTCTCAAAATAAAATATTTCAGAAAAGGGCTGAGGATAATAACTCCGTGGTAGAGCATTTGTCTACATGGGTGAGTTCTGGTTTTAATTCACATTACTGGGGTTAAAAAAGATGACTCACTAAAAACATGTGTATACTTTCCACAAATCTCTTAAAAGGTGTTAAAAATAATTTCTCTTAGTTGTATGATAAAACAATAATTCATGATGGAGAGAAAGCAATTAAAGGGGAAAACAAGTGGATTCAGTTAAGGTAGATAAAACATTACAGAAAAGGCTTCACAATAAAGAGAGTGAGACTGTAGAAGGGACCTCCCAGGAAGCTTCAAGCTCAGAGTCAGTGGGGTCAGTGACTGGCTGTGATCTCTGGGACACTGGGCACTACAGACGTTTTCTGGGCCCAAAGACTAGTTGGTCCATTCTTTTTTCTCCAGTGGTACTCAGTGAAGCTGTAATGGGATGAGGAACAGTATCGTTATGACAGAAATGTGAAAGCCTCATTAATGTAATGGCACATTAGACACAGACAACAAATAACACGTCAAGGGAGTTTCTAGTATGGAGAACAAAGTAGATTTAAAGTGATGGAGAATTTATGTAATACAGAAAATAGGTTGAGAATAGGCATCATGGTTCCGAATATATGAGCACATAGGATAGAACAAGTGAGAAGAAATAATCTCGGAAATTATTTATACAATATTTTCCTCATGAAATACATTAGTTACAAATAATTAAATACATTAGTTACAAGTGAATTAAATTATAAAATACACTC